CCCGGGGGTCCCGGGGTCCGGTCCCCGCCGACGGCGGTTCCCCTCGTGCTGATACACGGGAAACACTCGGAAACCGCCGCCTCGTTGCGTTGACCCGATTCCCCCTTCTCAGGTGAGGCTGGGGGGGTGTTTTGATTAAGAGGAAGAGGAGAAACTGTGGCTCCAGTGAAGAACCCCAAACGGATCTTAAACAGCCAGGCACAGGAGTGAGAAAACGGATTTCTGCGGCACGGGACACATCCTCGTCCCTGCCTGGGGATGAAGAGCTGCACGACCCCTCCACCCCCAAACCGTTAAATCACGCTTCCTGCGTTGACAGCCCTTCTCGAATACCCGTGTAACACGCTTTCCAGCGTGGACACGGGACCAAGCATCGGAATCCTCTGCCAGGTGGAAGCAACGCAAGGGGTGCGGCTGAGCAGCGTGTCTGGCAGCAGGGGCTGGCAGAGGCAGCACACCGAAACCAAGGGTGGGCCTGGCCACAGGTAACGAGGTCTGCCGGATGACGAGGTGCTTGGCCAGGACATGAACAGAGGCAGGAACAGGGGCAGAGATGGGGAAGGCTGCCAGACAGGGCGAGGAAGAGAGGAGGCCAGAGTCGTGAGGCTGAAGCAGCCCAGCTGTACCCCCACTACCTGTGGGATTTGACAACAGAGGGAGAACCCTCCTCAGAAGGGGCTTGGGGAACCTCTCCCCTCTCCTGCTGGGCCTTCCTCCCCAAATGCGACCTCTCTCCCAGTCTAAGCAAACAGGCCACCCTTGAAAACACCAAGGTGCAGTTACTTAAGGAACAAAGAAGCTAGCAAATGGCAATTCATGAAGATGTAGTATTACGATTCTTTGTCACTTTCTGTGCACGCTCTTAATCTACCAGGCCAAAGCACAATTGTCTTGGACAAAGCAAAAGGCAACAAGAAGGTGCAGGAGCCTGAAGCAGCCTCTCCTCCCTGTCTCCCAACCACAGAGCAGTCGCAATGCCAGCACGGCCTTTGCAGGAGCAGGCAGGGAAGCCCCTCAGCTACAAGGCAGAGCACAGTACGTCACACCCTGGTGCAGCTGCCCAGGCCCCCAGAGAACAGCAGACACGCAGCAGGGGAGCCACTCGGGGCGAGCGGGCAGAGTCAGGGACAGCAGGTGTCCAGGACTCCCTTTCAGAGCTGTGGGATGCAGAAAAGACCGAGCTAAAGACCACATAAGCAGAATTACTTCATCCAGTCCCTAATGGTCTTGCCATATTTCCCCAATTCCTCCCTCTAACTGCTGCTTTCATCCCTGTTACCAGAAGCCTTGCAAGCTTCCCCATCCTCTGACAGCCACAGCTCCATGTCCAAGCTGGAAAGGGGGAAAGAGACAGGGGGAAAGGGAAAAAAGAGTTTTTCCAGAAGCCAATGAAATGCAACTGTGATCAGAGTTCCCATGGTAACAGCAGGATCCAGAGGAAGAAAAGGGAATGTAAATCGGATTATCGAGGGATGAACAGGGAGGGACCAATGAACCAGTTGCATCTGCCAGCCCAGCCAGGCCACTCAAGCCACCTGCGCCACGTGCCCAAGTACCAAATCCCGTCCTCACCTTAACGCCAGCCCAGAGCGCTCCCTGTGCAGAGGCTCGCCCTGCTCTGGTGAGGCCAGATCCCCGCCGCACAACAGGGCTCATGCAGCCCCTCGAGGAAGTACGACCCCCACCACTCCCAGCCCAGAAACTTTCCCCTGAGCGGAGCAAGCTGTCTCCCTATAATTGATGCCATATATTACTACTTTGTCTGACATCTTAACCATAAATGAGGAGGAGGCTCAAAAATGCCCTGAACATAAAAAATCAAAGAGAAGTAACTCACGAGACCCAAGATTTATGCTCCTCCACCCACAGGGGAAACAAAATACTCCTCCGTGACATTCTAGCAAGGACTTGCACTTTGCAGAGTGAATACACTGAAATCAAGGCGATTTCAATAAAGCCAGGAGCAGCACAGCAGCTTGCATCAGAGGGATTTAAACCAGCACATCCAACAGCAGCAGAGCTGGTTCCAGCAGGGTCCCCAGGCCTGGGAACGACCTTCCTGGCCTGAGAAAGGACTAGAGCATTTCATCTGCTCTCTAGACTCAGGTCCCCTGCACGGCTTAGGCTGCTTGCTGCACACTCTCTCTGCTGGTGCTTCCCGGGCTGGAAAGCGTTAAGTCTCAAAAGCACCTCCTGGGGTTCTGCTACTTCTTTTCTGCTGTTTTATTTCCTCAAAGACAGAGATCAGCTGCCTGGATCCAGCTTGACCTCCCAGCAGAGCCCACAGCTGCCCCCTCAGCAGCGCAGGCTGCCTGCGTGCGCGGGGGAGCATGGGAGGGACCCTGAGATGTGCTGCTGGAGCCCTTTTGGAGACACCATGAATATTTCATAAGAGGGAGACAACGCTTTGGCAGCCTCACGCAGATGCAGGTTTGCGCTGTGCTGTCAGGGACACAAAAGGACAGGCCCCCGCTTGCTCAGCACTCTCCAGCTCCCCCGAGGAGCACCCCAAGGCTCGAGGCACCTCCTCTGCCCACCTCTGCACCCCAGGGCCCCAGTGTCAGGGGCCGCGGGTGGTGCCGGCATCCCCTGCACAAACCCACCTGACCCGGGGAGGGGTAGAGGGACAGCCGTGTCACCCCCAGGGCATCCCCAGCACCAAAACACCCTGTCAGAACACTGCACCTGCCCCAAAAGACAAGGTGCAACCAGGTGGCTGTTCTGAACGGGAGCTCAGGTTTCCAGAAAGGCAAAATATCCACCCAGAACCAGAAAAGACATCTCCATGGGGGCTGGACCGCATTTGGCACAAAGCGCACAGATGCCCTTTGATCCAGGCACTCAGTACAGCTTCCTCCATTCCAAAGGAGAGCAAGGTTTAAGATCCATGTTTTGACTCTTTGCAATATGTAGAGTGGGTCCTATATAAGAACCTCTGAAAGTCTGACACAAAAGGAGCACTTGAGTCTCCAGAAGGCAGAAAGAAAATGGACTGAACAGCACCACGCAGGGCTGCCTAAAGCGGGGATAAGCTAATCTCTGAAACTCTCAAGCATGATCGAACAGCAAAATTATCAGGGTTGCAGGACTGAAGCAATCCTGCGTAGAAGGAACGACCAGCCCTCCTGGTTCAAGCCCCCCAAAGTCCAGCCATGCAGCAGGGTTGCCAACAGGAGGAAGGGGAAAGATTTCAGCAAGGGGAGCCGGTGGAGGACCACAGCTCTGGAAGTTAATTGTTTCAAAGCTGCTACACTTTCCTTGGACATGAATTTGAGTGGGAAGTGTTTGTTACTGCCAATACATTTCCCTCATACACAGTTCTTCCACATGAGGTTGAACCGTTAAGCGTTGACAGTGCATCTGTTAAAATTGGCTCTAGAAACCAAATGTTCTTGAAAATAAAGAGAGAAACATGCTGTGCTTGCCCTTCATCTCCCAGCCATCCACTCCCAGTACCACGGAGAAAAGCCACGTGGAGCAGCCCACATGCTCACGGACGACCCAAGAGCGGCCGTGTTTCAAGCACTCCTCTGCATGAAGGGTGCAGCAGGCCCAGGGAGAAGGAGAAGCTCCCCAAGGATGGCAGGAGGCAGTGAAAGGGTGGCATGGCACCATCAGGCTCCTTTCTGCTGACAATATAAGGTTTCAAGGAAAGGTCCTGCAGAAGATCTGGGAAAAGGGCACTTCCCAGTATCTCAAATCCCTCTCACGCTTCTTTTTACAACTGCATTTCTGTCCTACTTGCCATGGCAGCTACCTCGGGCTTAGAGCAAACAGCGAGCCTGCTTCCTCAGAAAGGCCAGCAGATAGCACGAGGATCACCATGGACTCCAAGGGCTGGAAGTGGACATCCCTGCAAAGAGAGGAAGACTATCGTCCTCCGAGGTCACGAAATCTTATCTTCAGAGGAAGAAAAAAAAAAAGAAAATAGAAAGGCCAATGTAGCCTCCTCACTTGACTCCCTTTAATTAGTAACCATCTGGTTTTGAGAAGAGCTGTCAACCAATGTAGAGCATTTGGCAAGCTTCCTCAGCTGCTGCTCTCCTAACTTCAGTTCTTCTTGGAAATGCTTTAAGCCCTGAGATGCCAAAAGGAAATGAAAAGAGAAGCAAAAGAGTGAGTGAAGCAGAAGAGCAAGGATGCAGTATGATCTAGTGGACATTTCCCATTTCCACTTCCAGGTCAGGGAGCAAACGGCAAATGCTGCTGGGCGTCCGGTAGCCGGGAAACCTCCCAAACCATGTGGGAGGAACCGCAATACCTCAAGCACCATCTTTCAAACAAGCCGTTACAAATCACTCGACATTTTCTGGAAGTCAGGCTGCTCAATTCAGCATCCTGGCCAAATTTCAACTTAGGCAGTGACTTTCTGTCTTCTTAAATTCCCTCCCTCACTTTAATTCCTTCTTTGTCCCACCCACTGTGCAGCGGCAGCATGTGCCCGCAGTTACGTATGCTGCTCTGGCACAGTGTTTGCCCACCAGGACAGACAGGGAAAATCCTACAAACCAAATTCTTCGTGCTCCGTGGACAAGAGCTGTGATGCTCTTCCTTGAATCTTGCCCTGGTTTTGCCTGATGCCACACTCAGCTCAGAGGGGTTCTGCTCCTCCAAGCAAGCTGCCAGTGCAGAGGGAGCGCCTCACCTCGCCTGCAGAGTGGGCGAAAGGGCACGCGAATGGTTCTGCTGGGCATGCTCCCCGGCTGCCTCGCGCACGGAGCCGTGCACCACAGAAGCGCAGCTTCTCGGGCATGTTCTGTCAGCACAAGCCCTTTCACTCTTTTCAGGGAAGGAGCCGCCCTGGTAGCGAAGCTGGGTGGCAGGAGCCAGGCTGCAGCGTTTTTGTGAGCATGGCCTACCTCATTAACATTCAGCACATGGCTCAAGCAGCTTTTAGATTACTCCTTCCTGACTCTGGGACCTCGTGTGTGAGTCAGAGGCTTGCACATTTGCTTCCCCTGATCCCTGCAAGCCCCCAACACATGGGAAACTACATTTTGAACAGATCCCTTAATTTCTGCACACAGACAACCTTCTTCTCAGTTTTGCAAAGAAGCAGAGTCATCCTCTGCTCCCCCAAACGTGTAGAAGCCAGGGCTCCCTTTCCCTTCTCCAGACCCACGGTAACAGGGTACAGGCACAGCTGAGGGAGCGGAGGATCCCCGTGTTAAATGTAATAATGCTCCACGACAAACATGGCAGATAACGTCTCCCAGCACGTTTCCGCAGATCTGTCCTACACAGCAAAGGAGCCTGAGAACCAAACATGGGAGATCCTCCTGTTACACCTGCCCTGATGTTCTCCAGCCAATCAGAGCAGCAGAGCTGTAACCTTGTTGGCTCCTGATCACAAGAAAAAAGCAAGTGTTAAATTCCTTATTAGAGCATCTGAAACCAGCAGGGACCCACACGCCCATCGCCAACAAAACAATCTCACGTCCAGCTCTCTCAAGAGGATAACTGCCCTGGTCTGGCACCCCAGAGACTGAAAATCCCCAGCAGGGAACAGGGAGGTGCCCAGGCAGACCAGAGAGAAGCACACGTGGCTCATCAGGCCTGGACCGTCTCCCCGTGAGTCTCAACCCAACATGCGCCACAGAACCAAACACAAAAGGTCATGGATACTGTTCCTCCATTCCTCTTTTCGATTTCCCAGCCTTGGCTGGTGAGAACAAAGCTTTTCCTTTACACCACATGCTCCAAGCCATGGGACCTCAGCACAATACTTCCATCTTCCATGCTTCTTCTGCAAAGCCTTTCTTTCTTGTCTGTTAGCATTATGCAAAGTGCCCAACTGCCAATGCCAACGAGACTTCCGGCAGAAATCCATCTATTTCTCCTCTCCAGCTCTTAATTAACACGTGGACTTTAATTACATTTCCTGTTTTCATGACAAAATATGTCTCTCTCTCCTCCACCTGCCCCTCCCTGAGATCATTACAAGAGCTCTAATAATCATCATGATCATTTCTCGACCCTGAGAGCAAGGGGGGACACCTGCTCCACCTTCCCCCGTCTTCCCTAGCCCCCCAGTCGCTCATTCCTTAGTGAGCCCCATGCCCTGGTCTCATGCCAATGGCAACGGTGCAAGCACTGCCAACAGGTTGGCACAACATATTGCCAGGCCAGGATAGTGCCTGCAGGCTTTGGCTGTGGCAAAAGACATTATGGTTCATGGTGGACACAGAAACAAAGACAATTTGGGGAGGTATTAGGGATTCTCTTGTTTTCAAAGGTAAGCATGGGCCAGCCTCCTGCTGAAGAAGCTCTGTCTTTACAGATGGCACAGCAAACACTGCGAGGAAGCTCTGCAGTAACACTCAGCTATGAGCACAGACCTATGCAGTAAAAAAAACGGGAAAACTTTCTAACAAACCTCCCCATCCCCACTGAACCAGCTGCTAGAAAAGCCATCACCTTCCTAAATCACAAAGCATCCATTTCCCAGGAGAAGGTGAAAACTGATAAATTCCTCCCTATCCAGCCAGATGGGAACAAGCAAGAAGCTGCTATGATTGACTCAAGCATGAACTTCGGTGCAGTCAGGTTTTCAGGAAGCCCAGGTGTTTGTCCTAAGGTATCTCAAACCACTCCCACCCTCCTCACAGCTCTGGGAACATCACTCAGACATAGTCTGTCACAGCGGGGAGACCGAGTCCTGTGCAACCTCAACCTGGGATTCGCAAACCCCAAATCAGAATCAGCTCTCAGACCAACTATTTTATCTGAATGTTCAAATTCACCAGTCAGCTGGTGGCTTTGTCCACTCACAGAGGTGTGGGAAATGAGATTTTCCTTAGTTGTTACTTTACACCTCAGGCTTTCAGTGCTCCTCGAAGACTTAATCTCTGCCCTTCTGGCAGCAAACAGTAAGGTAATACCGAGCTGAACATCGAGATATTCTGCAGACAGACCTAAGGCAGCAAGCTGCCCACCTCTTCCACTGCCATGTTCTGAAGAATTAGCAATACCTCACAGAGCAGACATGACATCAGGCTCTGGGGACAGAGACAATAACACGAGGGAAGCATCCAGGTGATTGCAACACAAAGGAGATATAGGAAGGGCTAAGGTATGGCCCAGACAGGGTCCACAAGGCAAGACTGCATGGTCCAAGCACACAGCGAAGCACATCCACGTAACTTGGAGGGAAAGGGCTTGCAGCACATCTCCGTGCATGGGCAGCAAGCACGCCACAAGCACAGAGGGCGTCTCTGCTGCTTGCAGAGACCTAAACCCCTCCTCATAGTCCAACGATGCAAGAAAACCAAGTAGCTGCCCAAGCGAGAGAGCGTCGATAAGCACGGCAGAAGGGAGACGATGTCCCTTTAAATGTGACTAAAGTGTTGTCAATGGATCTGCCATGGTAGAGGAGTTAATCCCCCCCCAGCACCTCTCAGCCACTGTGATGGGATAATTAGATGCGAGGG